CACCTAAGTAATACAAAACCCCATCGATGCATATCCCTTCACTCACATTCTCATGTCTCAAGGGACATTTTATCCTTCTCCAACTCATTTCTCCAGTTCCGAATGTCATAATTTTATGGTGATCAGGACAACATGGGTAAGCCATGCACAATACCTTGTATTGCTTGTCAATAGGATCAAATCCCAAAAAGCTATAAGCCCTTCTGTACCTATACAGATAAGGTAAACTCGCATACCGTCCCGTTATAGGGTTACATAGCACAGGAACTCCATCGTAATGCTCGTGTTTGATCCACATACCATAGAAATACATCAAACCAGAAGCATAACCACATGAAAATCGTCGGTCATTACCAGGATAAATCCGCATATTGTTTGGAGGGAACTTCATATGAAACTTGGGGGTTACTACAAAAGACGATGATGACTTCTCATATGGACTCTGATGCTGAGGTAACGAGAAGAAGCTCCACTGATCTTTTCCTTCGATAGCGAAAAAGAGACGTGGCTGCGGCTGAGCCTGAGCTGGGGACTTTGTCAATAACAACTCTTTGAAATATGGACGACTAAGTATTGATGCCCATAGCTTCGACACACAATGAAACCTCGCAATTGACTTTGCAGGCAATCTAGACAATATCTCGAGGATGAGTTCAGTCGGGATGGAATCTGAAACCATGATCGGTCTGATCTAACACACAGAGAGAGAGAGATATGTTAACACTAATATTAATTAAGAAATAAGAAAAAAATAGAGAAACCCTAGCTACTTTAGAAATGAGACTTTAGAGGAGCTATACATAGCAAAACGAGAGGATTTCAAAAAATGATAACAAAAACCATAACTTTAGGAAGCAGAAAATTCTGAAACAAACTCAGACTAATTAACCAAAGATAGAGACAAGACCGAGTTGACGAAAGTTTTGGATTTATACCATACCATATTTTAGTGTTATAATAAAATTCTGTTTGTGAAATGAAATCGTGAATGTAGTAGAGACAATATTTGAACAAACCCTAGAATAAAAAAAAAAAATAAAGAGAATCAAAATGGAGAGAATTGTTTTGTTTTCTTCACCATATAAGAGAATGAAAGACAAAGAATATTTAAAACTCACCGACGAGACCAATGGTGAAAAAATATGAGGCGGAGGGAAAAACAAATTAAAGGCCGGCGGTAACTTAAGTCCAATAGGTTTTTTTTTTTTTTTTGTGTTGTAGTAAAACCTACAAAAATTAAAGGTGACTACAATAATTAGGAGCTACTCCTATTTATAATTAACACCGAAATATAAAACCTTTTTTTTTTGGTAGGAGGGGGAAGACAATTGTCTTCCCTACTTTATTAAATAAACAACCTACAAAAAATTATACTCGAACAGTTCTAAAAATCACTGTTCCATATGCATCCTCTAACATAATCCAATAAATTTCCTCGGGGCAAGTCTCAACAAAGAGAAAGCCTAGAGATAAAGAATACGCATAGTTTGCTAACCCATCAGCTAAGCGGTTAGCTTCCCTATACACGTGGTTAACTCGGACTAACCAGTCCCTTGATATAAAGCCTTGGCACAAACGCACCAGGAAAGACAGCGGATGAGCATTACTTATCCCTGTTCGTAGAAACCCGACAACCAACTCCGAAATATAAAACCTAATGAGGTCTCTAGGGCATCTCCTAAAAACACCGAAAAAAGGAAAACATAATTAATATTGAGGAAAAAAAAGAAAGAAATAAAACCAACACTCATTGCCATAGTCATTCTGATTACTCTCTAATCTCTATCATAACTTTGTTGCAAACGACCGGATTTTCTTCCGAAAAAGAATGAATCAAGAAGACTCCTTCTTCCAACAATTTTATCAATGCATATTTTGACCCTTCTAATCAGGTAAATCAGTAGATGGCTTCATTTTTCTCTCTATCTTGTTGAACATGACTCATTTAGTTGTGTGTATTTTTTTCCCATTGTAATTTGAACTATGTAACACTCAGTTTCGGTTACTAAGAACTATTTCAATCTATTCAGTTTTTGTCGTACTTTCTTATACACCAACTTTGATACCATGCTGATTTAAATAATTTAACCTGAACAAAACTTTTTTTAAAAATAAACTATATGATATACTATCAAACTTTTGCCAAAATCAACATTGCCTGAAATTGTGTTAGTCAAAATATGATGAGTCAAGATGATACATATACAGTTTCTGGTGTCATATATGCTATGTAAATAATTTATGTTCAATCGGATGTCATGTGTCAAAAAGTTATTGTCACGAAACTGATAATTTTTTTGTCGAATCCGTTGCTTTAATATATTACTGTTCAAAATTTGTAATATAAGAGAGAAGTTCTTGGGATGCAAATGGTTGTACGACTAAAATAATAAAAATATGTTTGAATAAAATTTTCTTAATAATTTTTTGTGTTGAAAAATATATATAAAAAAAAATTTCTTCAAGACTAAATGGAATGAAATTATACCTATATATATTATTCATGGTTTTTCATATTTAATTTTGAAATTAAAGTCAAATAATTCTATTTTTAATGTGTTATATCATCAACAATGACTTGATTTTTCTATATGTTCCAAAAAAGATCAATATGATGGATAAATCTGAAGATGAACGTCGTTTCGGTATGGCAAATTTTTATGTCCATCATATCGATTTTTTGTTTTTTAACACAAATAATAAATATTAATAAGAAAATTTTATTCATCCAATTTTTATTAGCGATGAACAAGTTTATATATGCACCTAGAGGCCGTAAGCGAATATAGGAATGGAAAGGTATGGGTACCGAAAATTGTTATCTAGTATTTGATTCTTACTAGCTAGAAGAGCTTGAACTAGTTTGATTAACCGTAAGGTTGTAATCGGTTCGGGTAATCTGTTTAGAACTAAGGGTACCTAAATTAATCGAACAAAATTTTGGTTTGGTTTGGGTCGGATAGTGATTTTAAAGATTTTTTACTCTAATTCGGTTTAAATTGGTAAAAAATATTACATCTTAACTCTATACTAGATCATGACCCGCACGTACGTGCGGGTTTTCTTATTTTAAGAAAATGTGTTGTAATAAACTTTTTGTAAATATAGAATATTTTGTTTGGTGATATATATTGTATTCTATATATTATAATGTAAACAGAAAAATGTAGAATGCTATTTATATTGTTTATGACACAATATATTCAAAATATAATTGTGAGATAATCAACGACATGGATGTATGCAAAATATTTATAGGAAATAGATTGTACATGAAATTAGGTTTAAATTTGTGGATGATGACGAATTATGATGACTAATCTTAATTGCATATTTTAAATTTATGATGACGAAAATATTAAAAAAAAATCTAAAATTACCTATGATCCTTATGCATTATCGTAAATATGGTGATTATGATAGTTCAAATCTGTTAAAAAAAATCTATTAATGTTTGTTTCAAGAAAGGAAGCTATTCAAATTTAATAGAAAATTAAGAATATTGGTGTGAATGAATATTTTCTCATTTTGAAGTATTTGCATTGAAAATTAAACATTGGTATTTAAATTATATTTAAAGGTTTTTTGAGAAAATAAAATAATCGAATTTAGAAGAATATATATTCCAAAAGCTTGTAACAATTTGAGACGTAATAAAATAATTTACTTGATTTGATATATTAATTTATTTGGATCTAAATAAAATAATTTGGAGATATAGTAACTATTATAATACGTTTTAAAAATATATATTTTTATATAATTCAAATTTAGTTTAGTGATATTTATTTAAAATAATGAAAACTACCCGTTTCTAAAAAATATATTTTCAAAATTTATATCATTTAAATTCTAATTAAAATGTAAAATAATTTAATCTATACTGAAAATATTATCTAGATATTTAGAATCTAAAATCCAAAATTATTTGTTGAATAGGTTATATTTTAAAGGATGGAAGTATTTAGTTTAGATTATATATGACAAATATTATAAATGTTTTTCATATTTAGAAAATAAAATATTAAAATCGTTTTTTTTCATGTTTACTACTAATCATAATTAATTAGCATAGTTTTGTTAAGGAAATGTATTAAAATCTAAATTAAATGATAATTTGTTACATTAAATTAGATTGCCGGAAATATCTAATAATATATTACCAAAATAAATAAGTTTATATATATATATATACAATTTCGAAATAAATAACTTGATTTATTATGGAATCTTCTTTAAACTATTTCCAAAAATATTGGGCAGTTATTATTTTAGTGATTTATTTTCGATTATTTAAAAAATGTTTATTTTTCTTTTTTCAAATTAAAATATAAATCAATGGCATTCTATGTAATATTCTACAACTTAAAGGTTTTTTATTATTTAGTGATTCCCAATTAATAGTATAGATATAACCAAAATTTATTAGTTTTGGATCAATATATTTGTTTCTGTAAGCTTAATCAACAAATTATATCTATTTAACTAGCACTTGTTACTTAATCTTAATTTAATTTTATTTTTAGAAAACAGAAGAAAATTATTATAATCTGTTTTTATTTTTCTGTGGTCAACAACATGCATTATCAACTTGGATGCAATACTACAAATCATTATGCAACTTGGATGCAGTACTACATGTCATTATTTCGATTTTGATTTTAAGTTTGATTAAAATAGTAAAGAATCAAGGAATATTTGATAACCATACTTAAGAACAAATGTCGTTTAAATCACATGTTATCTTCTTCTATATACTTTTGTACTCTAGATTAAGGTTTTTAAATAGAAAATCACACCAAAAAAAAAAGTTTGGTCCACCACCACCAGATTTGTAAAATTCGACCGGACATTTATTCCGGTTAGATCTCAAAAACAATATTAAATAAATACCCAATAAGGAAAGTCGAATTAATGCGTTTGATAAAATAAAATAAAAAGATGATCGTCTGAATTAGATACGCACTAACCTCAAAGAGTCACTCTCTCGCCGAATTCTCCCCAACAAAAACATCAATCTCGCCGGAAAATTCTCAGATTCCGGCAACTCTAAACTATGTCGTCGGATATTCCGTGTTGCGGAACCACGTTCTCGCTCTACGTCGTGATAATCATAGCTCTTGTAGCGTTCGCTGGTTTGATGGCTGGTTTAACTCTCGGTCTCATGTCTCTTGGATTAGTCGACCTCGAAGTTCTCATCAAATCTGGTCGTCCTCAAGATCGAATCAACGCCGGTGAGAGCTTTTTCCCTTTGTTTAAATTTGAAATTGATGACGATTCTGGTGAAATTTTGATGATTCCGTTGGTTAAATCTCGTTGTGTTCATCGATGTAAGTGTAAACAAGTGATCGTATCTGGAAAAATTAGCATCTGTTGCTCTGTTTTGGTTCTTAGGTAAGATATTTCCAGTGGTGAAGAATCAGCATCTGTTGCTTTGTACACTTTTGATCGGAAACTCTATGGCTATGGAGGTAACACTTGTATTTGATGCAGATACTTGTATATATGGCTTTGATGATGTTTCTTCATGTTTTTATTGTAGGCTTTACCAATATTTTTGGATAAAATTGTGCCTCCATGGTTAGCTATTCTTCTTTCAGTGACTCTTATACTGGTGTTTGGAGAGGTTTTACATCTGTTACCTAAGTTTTTTTTTTTTCGTTTCGATTTACTTTTTTCGATTTTGTACAGTTTGTGATTATAGGTTTTGCTGTTGAGTATCTGCAGATAATGCCACAAGCAGTTTGTACTCGATATGGACTCAAGGTTGGAGCGATAATGGCTCCTTTTGTTCGTGTTCTTCTTATATTGTTCTTTCCTATTTCATATCCAATCAGCAAGGTAGAGAAGAGTGTGAACCAAATTGTCTGTTTTGAAAATCAGCTTATAGACACTGAAATTGTTATTCCTTTTTGGTTTAGTTGAAAATGCTCGGATAAATCTTGTTCATTTTTTGCAAAGTTTCTCAATTCTGGTAGACGTTATTACTTTCAGGTTCTTGATTGGATGTTGGGTAAGGGACATGGTGTTCTTTTACGGAGAGCAGAGCTGAAGACATTTGTGAACTTCCATGGAAATGAGGTAAGCAGTGAGCTTAGGAATATGTTGATTAGTGATGTTTTCGCTATGACCTTGCAGTTGAAAACTGAAGCTCTGCCGACTGTTGTGTCTCTTAGAGCCAACTTTTCTGACAGACTTTTGTACATAATTCTTGTTTACTAGGCTGGGAAAGGTGGAGATCTAACAACCGATGAGACTTCTATCATCACAGGTGCACTTGAATTAACTGAAAAGACAGCAAAAGATGCAATGACTCCCATATCGAATGCATTTTCCCTTGAGCTTGATACACCTCTTAATTTGTGGGTTCTTTATTTTTGTTTTGCTTCAGTTATCTTCTATTTACACTTGTTCATCATGCTTATTGATAATTTGGAGTTATAATCTGCTATCTTCTACTATACAGGGAAACTTTGAATACAATAATGTCAGTTGGTCATAGCAGAGTTCCTGTTTATTTCAGAAATCCGACACACATAATTGGGCTCATTCTGGTACCTATCTTTCATATCGACACTCCATTATTTTTGGATAGTTGATGTTTCTATATCTTTTCTTATATTTTAGGTACTAGAAGACTTTGTTTTTGTATTGTCTAGCTTCACAGCATGTAATGTCCCCTTTTGCTGATACAGGTTAAAAATCTTTTGGCAGTTGATGCCAGAAAGGAAGTTCCTCTGAGAAAAATGTCCATGAGAAAAATTCCGCGGTAAATGAATCTCTAAAGCTTACTTTCTTTCTTTACGACCAGGATTTAATGCATACACAGAGTTCATGTTCATAAGAAATTTTCTTTTCTCCAGTGTCTCTGAGACAATGCCACTATACGATATCCTAAATGAGTTCCAGAAGGGTCACAGTCACATAGCAGTTGTTTACAAGGATCTTGACGAGCAGGAGCAATCTCCCGAAACAAGTGAAAATGGTATTGAACGCAGAAAGAACAAGAAAACGAAAGACGAACTTTTTAAGGACAGTTGTAGGAAACCAAAAGCTCAGTTTGAGGTATCAGAGAAGGAAGGTATGACTCAGCATGACTTAACGACATTTCATAGATAAACATGAAAACAACACAGTTAGCTTAATGTTTCTTTGGAATTGTAGTATTCAAAATTGAAACCGGAGATGCAAAATCCGGCAAGAGTGAGAACGGTGAGGAGCAGCAGGGGAAAACAAGTCTATTGGCTGCTCCAGCTAAGAAGCGACATAGAGGCTGTTCATTCTGCATTTTGGATATTGAGAATACTCCCATACCTGATTTCCCTACCAATGAAGAGGTTGTAGGAGTTATCACCATGGAGGACGTTATCGAAGAGCTTCTTCAGGTAACTCAAACCGAAACATGAGCATCTGCTTTACTTATTAGAATAAGAGAAGTAAAGAATCATAGGCATTCGTCTTTTTCTCTGATTTTTCAGGAAGAGATCCTTGACGAAACCGATGAGTATGTAAACATCCACAACAGGATAAGAGTCAACATGCATGCTTCTCAGGAGAATTTACCAAGTGTAATAACCTCGATCACGCAATCATCATCGGGTTCCACTAGTCCCAACCAAACATCTCATATGGCCACACCAGATTCAAGTCCTACAACAAAGCCATCAAGTTCAAGTCCCACAAGAAAACCTTCAGTATCAAGTCCTACGAGAAAGCCTTCAGATTCTTCCCACTCCATGGCACCAAAACATGAAGAGTCCACCCAAACTTTATGATATATCATATATAAGTGAAGAAGATAGATAGTTATATATTCTTAAAAGATCGTTTGTCTGTGTTTGAGATTAAGACTGGTTAATAGTTTCTTTGTACGTAAAGAAAAGGATGGATCTTTTACCAACAGAAAGACAAAAAGCTTAACTACAAAGTTCTTATTGGTAACATTCTACTTTAACCAAACAAAGAAACGACAGTATTTGGCAAAACTGATTTACTGCAATCTGCTACAAGACACAGTAAACTCTAGAATCAGAGATTTAGTACTTAAGAGAGATGGGATTTACCAGACAAAAACTTCACTTATTACACAACTAAAGAACGTAACCTCATAGATAAGCACCAAAAGACATGCCCATTGCTTTACCCTAACTCAATTGATCTTATTCTTCCTCTTCATCTTCTTCTTCTTCTTCATCTTCATCTTCATCTTCGTCCTCTTCTTCTTCTTCTTCCTCTTCTTCTTCTACCTTCGCATTTGGACCATCATAGATTTTTGACTTCAGCAGCTTTGGTTCATCAACATTTAGATACTCAACATGGTCTGCAAAACGGTAGAAACTACTGCAATCATCTACAAAGACGCGAACTCTGCTACGCTTGTCGAACACTCCATGGTATTCATCAAAGCCTTGAATTTCAACACATTGGAGTTTGTTCCTTTCGGGATTGTAGTAGAACACATAAAACGGTTGTTTAGACATATGATCAGCCATTGACAGAACAATCTCACCTGCAGCACTCACTCCAACAATGGAAACGTAATTAGCCAAGAATTTATCATCCCTCAACTTGTAGGCATACTTTGACCACTCCATTTTCTCCTTGTCCTCAAGAATCCACAGACGCAACTCAATAGCATCATCAGCGTAATCATCATAAAAAACCAAACCTAACTTTCCCTTGTAGTTTATCACTTCACAATAGCTTCCTGGGTAAATGAAGCTGAATGTCTCAGACCTAACATCAAAACAAACTACCACAAAAGCAGTCATAAACTCAGACGTATCACCTACGTAATACACAACTCCATCAATGCATATCCCATCACTGGCAATGTCATGTCTTACTGAACAGTCTATCTTTCTCCAACTCATTTCACCAGCTCCAAATGTCAGAACTCTATGAGGATCAGGACCAGATGGGTAAGCCATGAACAACACCTTGTACTGCTTCTCAATCGGATCAAACCCGAAAAAGCTAAACGCCTTTCTGTACCTTTCCAGAAACGGTAAGGTCGCATACCGTCCTGTTATAGGGTTACATATCACAGGCACTCCATCGTAAGCCTCCTCGTTGATCCACATACCATAGAAATACATCAAACCAGAGGCATAGCCACATGAAAACCGTCGGTCATGACGAGGATAGATCTGCATACCATCTGGAGGGAACTTCATGTAAAATTCAGGGGTTACTACAAGAGACAACGACGAAGACTTCTCATATGGAGTCAGATGCTGAGGCAACGAGAAGAAGCTCCACTGATTACATTTTTCGATGGCGAATAAGAGACGCGGCTGAGCAGAGGACGACCTGGTCAGGAACAATTCTGTGAAATGTGGATGAATAAGCATTGATGACCATTGCTTCGACACACAATGAAACCTCTTAACTGACTTTGCAGGCAATCTTGACAATATCTCGAGGATGAGTTCTTTAGGGAGGGAAACTGAAACCATGATCGTTCTGTTTGCTGATCCAACACAGAGAAAGAGAGAGATATGTTAAAACTTATATTGAGAACTAGAGAGACAGTAACTGAAATACGACCCTTTAGAGAGCTATAGCAAAACAAGAGCATTTCAAACGAAAAATCATAACTTTAGCTAGATACAACAACCAAAAATCATAACTTTAGGTAGCTACAATAACCAAAAATCAAAACTTTAACCAAATATCAAAGCTTTAGGAAGCTACAATAACCAAAAATCAAAACTTTAACCAAATATCAAAGCTTTAGGTAGCTACAATAACCAAAAATCAAAACTTTAACCATATATCAAAGCTTTAGGTAGCTACAATAACCAAAAATCAAAACTTTAAGCAAATATCAAAGCTTTAGGTAGCTACAATAACCAAAAATCAAAACTTTAACCATATATCAAAGCTTTAGGTAGCTACAATAACCAAAAATCAAAACTTTAACCAAATATCAAAGCTTTAGGAAGCTACAAGAACCAAAAATCATAACTTTAACCAAATATCAAAGCTTTAGGTAGCTACAATAACCAAAAATCAAAACTTTAACCATATATCAAAGCTTTAGGTAGCTACAATAGCCAAAAATCAAAACTTTAACCATATATCAAAGCTTTAGGAAGCTACAATAGCCAAAAATCAAAACTTTAACCAAATATCAAAGCTTTAGGAAGCTACAATAACCAAAAATCATAACTTTAACCAAATATCAAAGCTTTAGGAAGCTACAATAGCCAAAAATCATAACTTTAGGAAGCAGAAAATTCTGAAACAAACAAAGAAGAACCAAAGCTAGAGACGATGATCAAGTTTGAGAACATTTTGGATTTCTCGGTCAAGTTCTGTTTTTGAAACTGAAAATGATAAACAGACAAAAATCTGAACTCTGAAACATAAACCCTAGAAGAAAATAGCAAACGAATACAAAAAAAAGAAGAGATTTTTTTTGTAAAGAATGTAACAGAGACAAAATTTGAACTGAAAAATGCAAGTCGGAAACATAAACCCTTGAAGAAAAAACGCAAAAGTAAACAGAGAGAATAAAAAAAGAAGAGATTTTTTTGGTTTTCTTCACCAAATAAGAGAAATGTAGAGAATGAAAGACAAAGGAATTTTTAAACTCACCGACGAGACCAACGGCGGAGACGGATGAACTACGGCGGCGTTTTGGAGAGTTTGAAGGAGTTTTTTTTAACATTATTGTGACAAGGTTTTTTTTCTCTGTCGTCAATAAAATTTATGTAATAAGGAAAGAAAGAGTGGTTACATGAAAATGGGCTAGTTCTAACAACTTTCAAGCCCAAAACAAAGGTCAGTAGAATTTGGAGCCCAATAAACGTTGAGTGAGAAAATTGGTCAAAGACTCAAACAATTCTTTTTTTTTTTGCTGAAGAAAAAATAAAGTCACCCTAAGACCCTAACCAGTGACCACTCATCTATAGAAAGAGACTTCAATCAGCAACTCAATCCACTCTTTGTGATTTATGAATTCAGCTTAAAGATTGAACATAAGATGGAGGAGCAGAGAATTATTCCAAACAAAGACAAATTTCAACACGAAAAATTGAAAACATAAAACAAGAGACAAGGGATTTCGGAAAGTACATTGTATATAATTGAACCGTTGTAACCAAGAACCAAGAAGAGAGAGGAGAAGAAAAAAAAAAACAAAATGAAATATATGATATAACGGGTAAAAGATAGCTGAAACGATATAGCCTTACAACACAAGACGGGTTATATCTAAAGCGACGGAACAAATAATATGAAAGTATGACGGCATTAACCTAATTAGTCCAAAAAAATACCACTAATTGTTACTCTGTATGTAAAAGAACATATAGATTTTTTTACCAGTAAAGCTAATACTTTTTTGTTCCTTCAAACATACCATTTCTATTGCAAATAGCCTCCATATGTTCCTTTACGTACGTAAAGAAAATTTGCTTACCAATTGGGAGACCTCCTCTAGAGTCCTCCTGATAGTTAGTGAAGCATAGGTCATAACCATGGCCTCCGTAAGCTCACACTATCTTCTCCCTTTGCTTGTAGTAATACCGAATCTGCTGGAGCATGGTGAAACAGGAAAGCCAATGGGGAGAGAGCCCAAACCAATTGAGCAAAAGGGTATTGGAAAATAAATGGTCAACATTCTACTTATACATGCTTACAATATTGTTCGTTTTGGTACATTCTACTTTTTCTTTTCTCAACTGAAGTTATATTATATATTGAACCTTACATAGAACTCATCGACCATCTAAAAATACCAAAGGTGGAAATATTGAAGTTCTTAGAAACTAACAAAGCTCAAAAGAGGAAATTAGAAGTTAGAGGAATTTAACAGTAAAAGCCCATAAATATTTTCTTATAAAATCACATGTTGTCTTTTTTTTTCTTCATATTTTTGTACTCTAGATTAATGGACGAAACAAGCATGTGAACATCCACAACAGGATAATATAAGAGTCAAAATAAAACCTACCAAGCGTAATAACCTCGATCACACAATCATTATCGGGTTCCAACCAGATTCGAGTCCTACAACAAAGCCTTCAGATTCTTCCCACTCCAAAACATGAAGAGAACACTCAAACTTTATGATATACTATGAGTTTGTTTACATATATTTAAAAGATGACTTCTTTAAAAGATTTGTTTCTTTGCCTCTTTGGTTAAGGTTTTGGTGTTTGATATTAAGACATCGTAATGGTTTCTTTGAACGTAAGGAAACGGATAGATCTTGTACCACACAAAAAAAAAAAAAAAAAACTAAAACAAAATTACAGTATATTGATCTAGAATCGAAGTGAGATGAAATCTTAAAAGAACACTTGATTTATTAAAATAGTTATAAAAATGGTACATAACTAATTAAAGAGCATAAACTCATAGATAAGAAAACAAAAATGACATCTAACTCCAATTAATGATCGTCTCTGTCTTCTCCTTCTCGTTCTTCTTCTTCTTCTTCTTCTTCTTCTTCGTACATATATGGCTTATTAAAATAGTTATAAGAACGGAAAGATGTTTCTTCGTCATCTGATGTATCTGATTCTTCTAACTTCGGATAAGTATCTTCATAGATGTTTGACTTGAGTAGCTTTGAATCGATAACGTTAACATCTTCTACATGGTCAGCAAAAGCGTAGAATCTACTACAATCGTTTCCAAAGACGTTGTCTACAAAGGCGTAGACTCTACTCCTATTGCCCAACGCTTCATAGTATTCTCCAAAACCTTGAATTTCAACACGTTGAAGAATGTTCCTTTCAGGATTAAAGTAGAAAACATAAAACGGTTGTTTAGATATATAATCAGCCATCGACAAAACAATTTCACCGGTACCAGTCACTCCAACGATAGAAACGTAATGAACCAAGAATTTATCATCCCTCAACGTGTAGGCATACTTCGA